CTTTCGCGATGCATTCGGTGGCTTCCGTCTCTAGTGGTTCTGATAGGCACCCTTCCCTCCCCTGCTCAGTCGAGCGGACTCCTCCTGGTGCGCAGGCAGGGCTCCTACCTGGGAGCACCGGAGCCTTTGCAGCCCGTCTCGTCCCGGTTTAAGACGGAGATAAGGTCTGGAGGGTTACGGAGAAGGCCTGACACTCCTGCTTCCCACCGTGTAAAGGCAGAGTTGCGTGTCCCAGGCTGGGATCTGGCTCTAACCTGCTGTCCGTGGGCTTGGGCATGCGGAACTGGGTGGGCACTGCCCTGCGTGGTCCAGGTTGGTCGAGTCTCATCAGATCTCAAAAGCTAAGCAGGACCCACCCTGGTCAATATTTGGAGGGGAAGACCAGCAAGGAAGTCCAGGGTCGTCAGGACGCAGAGGCGGGCAAGGACGTATCTTGCCTTGAGAGCCCTTCGGGGTCGCCAGAAGCCAGCGGTGACATTACAGGACTTTCCACCGTCACCCAATGCTCCCTCTAAGCTGTGGAGTCTAGTGAGCAAAAATCCTGCTTTGTGAGCTCCTGACATTAAAGTTGTGAGTGAGCAATTTGGCTGCTGCATAAATCAGTTTGCTCTGGAGCCCTCCTTCCTGAGCCAAGACAAATATGAGTTAGCCAGAGGCTACAAAACTGTGAGCTAGCTCACGTTAACTCAGCTTAGAGGGAACACTGCTGTCACCCCCACCACCAAACCGGGGATAAGCCAGTTAGTCATGAGGATACAAGAGGAAACAAAAACTCTGTGCAATCGTGGTGTGTCAAAGTCCGTTAAAGATCCCGGCTGTCCAAGATGGACTCGTGGTCTGACTTGGTTTGTCGTATCTACTTGGATCTTTGATATTCGGAATATTGCCTCCATACGTCCCTTTCTACACCACGGAGGACTGTCGACCCAAACAGAACGTCATGTCCCAGCCTAATGGAACTCTTGATGGATTCTCCTCATTCATCTTGGTGGGTCTGCCTGGTATGGAAGCCGCCCAGTTCTGGCTGGCCTTCCCCTTGTGTGCCATGTATGTGGTGGCCGTCGTGGGCAACTGTGCCATGATGTTTGTTGTTAAAACAGAGCCAGCCCTCCATGTCCCCATGTACTTCTTCCTCTCCATGCTGGCAGCGGCGGACTTGGCGCTCTCTACCTGTACCGTGCCCAAGATCCTCTCCTTCTTTTGGTTTGGTGCCAGGGAGATTGGCTACGAAGCCTGCCTTGTCCAGATGTTCCTCATCCACTCCCTGTCAGGAGTCGAGTCCACCATCCTCCTGGCCATGGCTGTGGACCGGTACGTGGCCATTTGCCACCCTCTCCAGCACTCCGCCATCCTCACCAACTCAAGGACGGCAAAGATTGGACTAGTGGCGGTAGTGAGAGGAGCCCTCTTCTTCCTTCCTTTCCCTTTGCTCATCAACCGCCTGCCGTTTTGTGGCTCCAACACCCTCACGCATTCCTACTGTGTCCACCAAGATGTCATGCACCTGGGTTGTGGCGACGGGCTGACGGCCATCCTCGCGGTGATGGGCCTGGATTCCCTGCTCATCTTCATGACCTACGTGTTGATCCTGAAGACAGTCCTGCAGTTGGCCTCGAGGCAAGAGCGCCTCAGAGCATCGGGGACCTGCGTGGCCCATCTGTGTGTGGTCCTGGCCTTCTACGTGCCCCTGATTGGGCTCTCTGTGGTGCACCGCTTCGGGAGGGACTTGCCTCCGCTGGTGCACAGGTGATGGGCCTGGATTCCCTGCTCATCTTCATGACCTACGTGTTGATCCTGAAGACAGTCCTGCAGTTGGCCTCGAGGCAAGAGCGCCTCAGAGCATCGGGGACCTGCGTGGCCCATCTGTGTGTGGTCCTGGCCTTCTACGTGCCCCTGATTGGGCTCTCTGTGGTGCACCGCTTCAGGAGGGACTTGCCTCCGCTGGTACACGTCACGATGGGCAACTTCTACCTGCTGGTGCCTCCTTTATTCAACCCCGTTGTCTACGCAGCCAGGACCAAAGAGATACAGAGAAGGGCCCTGAAAGCGATGAAGATAGCCAGAAACAGAGACTTTCCTTGACCATGCTGTTCTTTTTTAAGCTGAGCAGAGGTCCATCAGTGGCAATTAGCCAAAAGGTACAGATAGGAACTCTCAGGCAAGGGATGGTCTGTATTCTTGGTG